ACAACGCGGCAAAGAAGACGACGCCGCCTGCCACGGGCAACGTGGCTAAGAAGACGCCGCTCCCCACGGGCAAGAAGACGGACGGCGCGGCTGGGAAGGACAAGCAGCGCAAGTGGGCGAAGCCGAGGTGGGAGATGCAGACCACACGCAACTTGGCGAGCGGGGTTGAACCTCCCACCGATGAGGCGTCGGGCGCGCGCGGCGATTCCCAGCAGCCCCGCTGGGGTCGCAGTTTGCGCGCCCGCCGCCTTTCAGGCGACTGTTCATCGTTGCTCCGCCCCCCAGGTGCAGTTCCGCAGCGGCAGGGTCGGCGCCCTGGCAGCAACGTCAGCCTGAAGTACATCGCGGGCGATGAGGCCGACAAGGCCAGATTCTCACCGACGCCCTTCTCGACGCCCTCCTCCGCGCTCTCATCATTTTCGCCCCTGCCTCGACGCCCCCTCCGCCCCCTGCTGCCTCGTTGCGCCCGATCGCTCCGAGGCCAGGGCCATCGCGGAGGCGGAGGAGCTGGACAAGAAGGAGCTCGCCGCCAGGGCGCGCGGCGAGTAATTCGCGCTACGACTCTTCAACTCTCCAGGCCAACGGGGCGGCCTCGGGATAACAAAAAGGTCGTGGCGGATATGCCGCCTCGTGGCGGATATGCCGCCTTGAAGCGCAGCCTTCTCGCCTTCCAACTCGTGGCGGACATGCCGCCCCCGCCCCACCCCTTTGCGCTCCTCCGCCCTTCAGGCGGACATGCCGCCGCCCCCCTCCCCTAATCGGCCCACTCCGCGCCCCCGCGCCACGTCCCTGCGCCCCCCTCACCGCTGTCAGGCACTGGAACCCACGCCAACTAACGTCGGGGAGACGCCCACTGCTCGAACGGCGAAGGCGTTCACCAGAATGGCATGGGCGCGCGCGAAGGCACCGACGTTGCCACCGCCCGTTCAACGACGAAAACAAGTGAACCAAGACCTGCACATTCAAAGGGACGCCAGTTCACTTATATTTCTGGTTCCCAATGCCACCCTCACTCTGCCCCCTCCCCCGAGACCCCGTCGCAAGACCCAGCGGGGCCCTTCTGAGAGGCCCCCGAGGGCTCGAGGAGCTCCAAGACTTCAATGGGTCCATGGGCAACCCCCTCCCCCTCCTCCCGAAGTCTCGCTTCCGCGTCCGATTCCATTTCGGTTCAAGCCCGCGGCCCGCGGGTGCCCGCGAGCCCGCGCGGGGTCGGCCCCCCCCTTTCGCGCCGACGCGTGGGCTGGGGCACGCGCGCCGAGGCTGCGCCGCAGCCACCGCGTCGCGCTCGGCGCCTCGCACTGCGGCCGCGGCCATGGCAGACAGCGGCAGCGCGTTCGACGCGTTGGAGGCAGCTGCATCGCCAAAACAAGTGGCCCCGCGTGCGGTAGCCAGGGACGCGCTCATCGCGCGCGAAACTGGCTGGCCGCTCTCGGTCGAACTGTTTTGGCGATTCGGCGCAGGAGATGTTCGGGCCAGCGATGCAGTTGCTCTCCGACCTTGCGGGCGTGGACAACAACGCAGGGGATCGGTCTTCCTCCGCCAGCGGCAGACGGCCAGCCAGCGCGCCCACGTTGGCGGCGCAGCCAGCGCGATCGCGCAGCCCGCGCCACCCGCGGGCACCGTCGACGCCGCCGCGCAGGCGGGGGCCGACGTCACCGCCGCGGGACCCGCGGCAGCGGCCTTTCCCGCCCTCGGCTCTCGTGAAGGAGCTCGCGTCGCACATGCGGGGCGCGACGCCTGTGGTGGAAGAGCCCCCCGAGGCGGTGGAGGCGCATCCCAGCGCGGTGGAGGCGTTCAGGACGCAGCTGCGAGCCTGGCTGAGCGACCCCGTTGGGAATCCCATCGACTGGCGGTCGGAGACCGTGCACGCCGTGCTCAAGGAGTACCAGATGAAGTACGACTACAAGAAGTTCCGCGACCGCGGCCCGCCTGGCCCCGCCATGGGCGGGCCGCAGACGTGGCAGGGCCAGGCGCGGCGCGCCAATGCGAAGCGCTGGGGGAACCGAGGTGGCGCAAAGCGCGAGATGTACGCGAAGCTGCACGGCAACAAGGCAGCGCCGCGGGTGCGCGAGGCGCACGTCCCCAAGCCTCAGCTGATGCATCGGGAGCCCATGGCGCCGAACTTGCCCAAGACGATGCCTCAGCAGGCGCCGTGGAGGACTGGCAATATGAACCCTCCAGTTCCGCCTCCGCCGCCGAAGACCATGGGGCCGCCGCCGCCGAAGACCAGGCAGCCGCCAGCAGGGAAGCCCAGCATGGTGCAGCCGAGGGCAGGGCGTCGGCTGCAGCCGACAAGCAAGATGGCACCACCGCCAGCGAAGCCGCGCCCGCCCGCCCGCGGAGATGTCTTCTTGTAGGGTGATCGCGTGGACCTGCAAGCGGGCTGGGGTGCATAGCTTCCGTAATTCGAGCGCGGATAGTTGCAGCTATCCGCGCTGACGCGTCATGACGCGCCGCCTCTCCCCGCCTCGTCTCATCTCATCTCTCCTCCCCTCTCTTCGTTGCCGATCTATCTCATTGGCGGACGCGCCGCCTCCCCCCGCCTGGCGGACAACCGCCGTTCAGATACGAGCATCGGCGCATCGGGTTTGTTCTATGCGGTTGGAAAAAACACCAGTCCTTCCCTGAGCCACCCATTGGCGGCTAAACCGCCCTGAAGCCTCCATTGGCGGCCACGCCGCCCATTGGCGGCTAAACCGCCCATTGGCGGCCACGCCGCCCTGAGCCCTCCATTGGCGGCTAAACCGCCGCCGCCGCCTGCTGGCATCCCGAAATGTGCGATGCCACCGCGCCTCTTACACATGTATGTTTTTGTTGTTGGGACGCTGTATCGGCTCGAATCTAGGCGCGCACAGGCTCGCGCCCCACGCCGCCCCTGCGCTAGCCGTGCACTTCTCGCCCTGCCGCCATGGCAGGCCAGCAGGGCGAGAAGACCGTCATGTTCGGCTTCAAGTGCCCACAGAGCAGCAGCTGCAAAAGGGGCGGCAAGTGGTTCCAGGGAGAGACAGTGGAGGAGGCCAGGAACAAGCTGGTGAACCACCTTCACGTGTCGCCGTACCACAGCTTGAGCGAGGACGAAGCGGAGGTAGCTGCTATCGCACTCGAGGCCGACTCGTGGGAAGTCGACCTCGCGGAGTGGCGCCAATGGGAGGAGGAGAAGGCCAACTGGGGCTCCGCCAAAAGGCGCAAGCGCGGGCGTCGAGTTGGCGCCAATCCCTCCACAATCCCGCGTGGAGCGCTCGCACCAGCTGAAGGACGCGTTCTCGGAGGGCAGCGGATCGTCAGGCGCAGCTTCGTCAGCCACGGCGGGCATGAGGATGTCCACGGCGTTGGCCAGCCAGATGTCGCCCGATAGCATCGTGGTGCTCAACGGCACCCAGTGCCAGGCTGTGCTCGACTCGTTGCGCCGCGCGCGTACTGCGACGCAGATGTGCGCCCAGATAGCGGAGCGCGCGGTGAACGCTTTCCGCCAAGAGGAGCAATGCATCGCCGAGTGCGAGGACGTGCTCGCGAGCTGGCTGGTGCGCAACGCGACCTCGTAGGTGCAGGTGCACGGCTGGCAGCACTGATGTCGCCTCAGCATCAGTAGCCTCATTCGCGCAGGCGGCGCGACGCGTCGGCCCTACACGCCCCCCTCCCACTCCTCCAACGCAATTTCAATCCACACCCCTGTGTCATAACAAATTAGGACACCCCCACACACTCCATCCGCACTCAATTCGTGAAGGCCGCCACGCCGAGGTGAGTTTTGGCCACGCAGGCGGCCGAGTAGCCGTCCCCCAATGCAAGGCGATATGGGGGCGAGTGGACGAGCGGAGCGGGAGGAAGGTGAGGGAACTTCGGCGGATAAGACAGGTGGGCGGTTGGATGGGATTTGGCAAAAGGGCTGGGTGGAGAAAACTGCATCCGCATAAGAATGAGTGCGGCTATTTTCTGGATGTGCTGCATCGCCATGTCCGCCCACCCCCCATCGCCTTGCATATGATGACGCTCAGGCAGCGCGCCCCGATTGCGCGCGCTCGCCCGTCTCTTCGCTGCCGCTCAGGCAGCGCGCCTCGCTGCCGCGCTCGCCCGTCTTTTCGCTGCCGCTCAGGCAGCGGTTTGAAGCACGCGGCGCCGTCCGCGGTCGGTAGCGCAGGGCGCCGCTCCGCCCCTGCTGCTCCGCTTAACTAACTCGGCGGACGTGCCGCTACGCCGCCGCCATGCACTGGCAAAAAAACGTTGGCTGTTATCATATGTTAGCATATGTTATCACGCGCCTGATAACACCTGATAACACCTGATAACACCTGATAACATGTTATCAGGTGTTATCATGTGTTAGCATGGTGTTATCACACGCCTGATAACATATGATAACATATGATAACATGATGTCAATTTTGTGTGGTTGTCATGTTGCGCGCAATTCATTTCAGTATCCGTATCACCTCGTGCGTCCGCCACGCTTCGAGCGGCTAGTCCGCCGGCGGCCAATCCGCCTCCCTCGCCGCGCCCCTGCACCCTCTCAAGCGGCGAGTCCGCTGGCGGATATGCCGCCCCCTTCATACCTCACTCCACCCCTCCCTCCATCTTTGAAGCGGCTATTCCGCTGGCGGCTATCCCGCCTCACTTACCGCGCGTTTTCTTCGTCATCGCTTCGCGTCCAGCTCATCTTGGCATCAGGGCCGCGCGCGACGCGCGGCTTCTCGCGTGCCAAGGCGGTCACGCCGCCATGGCGGGGACGCCGCCCGCTGAAGATCACCAGCAGCATTCTCTGGCAGTGATGTTCGGAGCAGCCAGGCCGAAAAACAAGGGAGTGATGACCAAGGCGCCCGCAGCGAAGCCCCGTGGGAAAGCTAAGCTATCGGGGACGCAGATGACACTGACTGGACAGCTTGTGCCGCCGCTCGCATTGACCGACGCAGGGCCGCCGAAGGCACGCGGGAAAAGCAAAGGCAAGGGCAAAGGTAAGCACCCCGCAGCGTTGAGGACGGCTCGCAAAGCTGCGTCAGCCGCAGCTCCCGCCGAAGAACTGCCTCCTCAGGGCGCAGCGGCTTTGCCACCAGAGCCGGACGACGCAGCGTCAGAGGCGGCATCGGGCTCCGAGGAGCGCGGCGACGAGATTGGTTCCGAGCTCGGCGACAAACAGGATGAGCTTGAGAGTGCCAAGCGTGAGCTTGAGGAGGAAGAGGCTCCACCGCAGGGCGCGGTAGCCAAGGTTGAGAATGAGGAGCGCTCGCCAGAGGCGGCAGCGCCGCAGGCGGAGGAGGAGGAGGCAGCTCAGGACGATCCGCCAGCAGGCGCTCCCCAGGTAGGGGAGTTCGTGGATGTGCATGGCATCGGGCATAGCATCGTGCGTTGCAACCGCTGCTGTCGCACGGCAAAGGAGTGCAACTACAGGATCAGGGCGAGGGGCCAGTCGACTTACCAGTGCGACGCGTGCAACACGAACGGGGTGCGCCTTTCTCGGAGTTTCGGACAGTGGCCGCCAAAGTGTTTCGCCAAAATGAAGAGTGAGTTCAAGCAGCAGTTCTACAAGGATCTGGCAGAAGATCCTGGGCTGTCGAACCTCGATCGCATTGAAGCCTTCGTGGTCAGCTCAATCACTGTCCAACGGATGGAGGAGGAGCGCGTCCGCAAGGGTGGCAAGTACCTTCCGCTGAGGAAGTGGCGCACGACGGCTTCGACGCGAAAAAGATTGAAGATAATGTGCAGGATAAGAGGTGGAACCCTGATCTCGGGGAGTGGACGTACAGGCCGCAATTGGAGGCGGCCTGGAGCGAGACAGTGGAGGCCGCAGTGCGCAACGAGCTGTACACCGATAAGAGGACGCAGGCGAAGCAGAGCGGCCCGCGGGCAGCGGCCTCGACGGGCGTCTCAGAGCACGGCGGCGACAAGGGCGACAGAAGCGACGAGAGCGACATGTCCAGATCCAGGCGGCGCCGCAGGCGCAGGTCTGACAGCCGCAGGAGGAGGAGGCGCAGCATGAGCAGGCGCGACAGCAGGGGCAGGCGCGACAGCAGGAGCAGGCGCCGCGACAGACGTCGCGACACCAACCGCAGCAGGAGCCGCTCGCGCGGCGACCGCGACAGGAGCAAGAGCCGCCGCAAGGGCAGGAGCAAGAGCCGCGGCAAGAGCAAGGACAGGAGCAAGAGCAGGCCGTTTGGGGGTTCAACGCAAGGGTGTCGCCTGGGCTTCGCATTCGTTTTCGGTTTCCGTTCAACTCTTCAGGTTCGGATCGGGTTATTGATTTCGCTCGGCTCGAAGTGTTGTCATTTTCGGACAACCCCGAAGGCTCCGCAGGGATAAGGACGCTGAGAAGGAGCGGAGGCGACAGGAAGCGAGGGAGAAGGCCGAGCAGGCCAAGAAGGAGACGCAGGAGAAAAACCTGGCGCTGAAGTGGATCGGCACCGCAACGAGGCTCGAGACAGAGCTGGACGGGTACCTCGAGCATGAGAAGGCGGACAAGGTGCCGTCATGGGCTGTGAAGAACGCGAAGGCGGCGAGGAAGTCTGTGGCAGTCATGAAGGCGGTGGCGCAGAAGCGCGTGCACAGCGGCGTGGCGTTGACGATCACGCAGGACGAGGCCATCAGCATCCAGAAGGATGCGAGCTCGGCGGCGAGGGCCATCGCGGGGATGCTCAAGGAGGCGCAGAAGCACAGCACCTGAGCGCCCCATGGTGGCCCAGTACATCATGAAGTACGGCCTGAAAAAGGTGGAGAAGGACCCGAATAAGCCGCGGCCGCTGGGCCGCTCGTGAGCAGGGGCGGCAGTTGGGCCGCTCCTGACGAGGTGTGTGATTTCGTACAATTGTTATTGTTGGTGAAACAACATTTCCACCGCCACCCCACTCGTTACCACCGCAGCCCTTCGTTTGGCGGGGATGCCGCCTTTCCACTCTCGCAAGCCGTTGGCGGACATGCCGCCTTGCCTTCATTTGGCGGAGATGCCGCCTTTGCTGCTCATCGCGCTCCGATGCCTCACTTGGCGAGGCGAAGCGCTTGCATAACTCCCTCCTGCTCGAGCGCGTCCTGCCCGAGACCCTACCGCGCGAGCTGTGGCTCGCGAAGGCCAGCGACACCGTTGGGAATCCCATCGATTGGCGGTCGGAGACGAAGCAGAGGCGAAGCAGCTCCTTGGCAGGGGCGGCAGTTGGGCCGCTCATGACGAGGTGTGTGATTTCGTACAATTGTTATTGTTGTTGAAAAAAAACATTTCTTCGTTGCCATCGCCACCCCACTCGTTACCACCGCAGCCCTTCGTTTGGCGGGGATGCCGCCTTTCCACTCTCGCAAGCCCTTGGCGGACATGCCGCCTTGCCTTCATTTGGCGGAGATGCCGCCTTTGCTGCCCACCGCGCTCGCACCGTTCTCTCGCGTTTCCCAATGACATGATCTGCCACCGTCCCACCCCTCATCCGTAGTCTTTGTGGCTCAAGTGGAGCCGCTCGAGGTCGTGCCCTTTCGCGGTCTTGCGCCGCCATGGCGAGCATCGCGGACAAGGACGACCTCGATGAGTTCGAGCTCATCACGGGTGGCAGTGCGTGGAGCTGGGCGACCATCGTGGTGCGCTTCATCGAGTGGCGCAATCGTTGCCGCCATGCACGCGCCGTTGGCATCAAGGGCCAGATGCTCATCGACAAGGCGCGGCGCATGATGGAGGAGGCGCGCCGCACCGAGGAGCGCGGCAAGATGCTGTGCCAGACGTCGAAGCAGATGGTGCAGGACATCCCAGGCGGCATTCGGTTCTTCTGCCGCCAGCCGCACCAGGAGAGCTGAGCGGCGATCGGCTGGGCCGATAGAGGAGGATAAGGAGGAAGAGGAGGCAGGATGAGGAGAGGAGGAGGAGGTGGATGAGGAGTTGGAGGCAGCACGCGCACCCGCACTAAGAGCCGCCAGCCGCCGCCGCGCCCGTCCCGCGCTGCGCCCGTCCCGAGCTCGAGCCGCCAGCCGCGCCCGTCTCCGAGCGCTGGCGGCTTGGAACCCGAGCTTGAATCTCAAGCTCGAAATTGCGTGCGAGAAAAAGAAATCTCCCTTGCAAGTTCCGTTGCTACGCTCACTTCGCGCCTCCGCAATCTCCCCCACCCACCCCCTTCCCCAGAGGATCGGCGATTGCTAGGCTAGGCCGGGTGAAGTTCAAGTGTTGCCACAGCGCTCAATTCTTCGCGCAGGACTTGGAGTGCTAGCCTAATACTTAAGTGCACTTTCCGCATCTATTTAGCGGTGTTTGTGGTTTGCGGCTTGTGGCGCGCTTGTGTGTTAGCAAGTTCGCGTTCTTGTTTGTCGGGTTTATGTCGCGCGGTCTGTTACTGACGCGAACTGTGCGCACAAAACATCATAAACATCATCACCATCATCAACATCATCCACATCACCATCATCATCATCATCATCAGCAGCAGCAGCATCATCATCATCGCCATCGGCATCATCATCATATGTTCACCATCGTCAACTTCCGACTGCCCTTACGGGAGAGGGAGATGATAATATATAAGATGGATGAGGATGATGGTGGCGATGAGGCGGAGGAGGAGGAAAATGAGGAGGAGGAGGAAGGGGGAGGAGGAGGAGGAGGAGGAGGAGGAGGAGGAGGAGGAGAAGGAGGAGGAGGAGGAGGGGGAAGAGGAGAAGGAGGAGGAGAAGGATGAGGGAGAGGAACGGGACCATAATGATGCTGATGATGATGAGGAAGAGGACGAAGATGATGATGCTGGGGAATATGAGGATGATGATGAGGGCGAGGACGGGGGGGGGAGAATGCGAAGGAGGAGGATGATGAGGAGGAGCAGGATGAATAGGAATATAGGATAATCCATATGAGAGGGATGAGGAGGGTGGATGGGGATGAGGAGGAGGACGAGGGGAGGATGATGACGTCGACGCGAAGGATGAGGCGCAGGAGGAAGAGGAGGAGGAGGATGAGGAGGAGGATGGGGACGACGATGATGATGAGAAGAACCAGGGAGGCGGATGATGAGGAGAGGAGGAGGGGGGGATAGGAGAGGCGGGGGATGAGGGCATTGGAATGGGGGATGATCTGTTGAGCTGAAAGCAGGGCGGGCGCAAGGAGAAATTATGAGGCAGGAATTTTGGAGTGATGAATGTTCAGATGCGATAGTGGGCCGATACTATACTGACGATGTTTGAAATGATAATGATGATTGTCATGGTAGGTCTATGATTGATGATTTAGGCCGAAGACGGTCATGATATCTGGTGGTGATGCTGATGGGTGATGATCTGATGGTGAAAGCTAGGATAATGAACATGACGAGATGATGAGGATGATGAAGATGACGATTACCGATGACGAATGATGATGATGATGATGATATGGGTATGAATGCTGATGATGATATACTGCTGCTGAAGCAGATGATGGTGATGGTAAAAAAGAATAGCTGATGATGATACTGCTGATGCTGATGCTGATGCTGATGCTGATGCTGATGCTGATGATGATGATGATGATGATGATGATGATGATGATGATGATGATGATGATGATGGTGGTGCACATCGTCCGTCCATCGGATGCGTCGCGTCGCTCGCTGCCCGCAGCGCCATGCCAGCATTCAAGCTGGAGGTGTCCCCCCTCAGCCAGCAGCAGAAAGCAGCTTGGATTGGCAGAGGCTGGGCGCGGGACGCCATGGCGGAGCGGGGCGGCGGCGACAGGGGTGGCGGCACGGCGCCAGCCGACACGATGGTCGAGTCCCCGTCCTCGATGATGGAGCTCGGGCACATCGAGTCGACCAGCCGCCACCCCGACAACGCTGGCCTGCCGATGCACCCGTGCCACTACTGCGCCATCCCGCCGAGCGTTGCAGCAGGCACGCTCGGCGACACGGAGGGGTGAGTGAGGACGGAGGAGGACGGAGGGATAATATGGACGGGGATGCGGAATAAGAGGACGGAAGAGGAGAAGGAGGAGGAGGAATACGGAAGGACGGACGGACGTAAGGAGGAGGCGGAGGACGGAGGGACGCGAGGAGGAGGACGGATGAGGAGACGTACAGGGGGATGACGGAGACGGAGGCGTGCGCGTATCTAGGCACATGCGAACGCGCGCACGCGCACGAACACACACACACATACACACACACGCACACATACTCCACAACTTACCACGGCATACGCCACACGTACATACACTTGCACACGCACCCCGCATGCGCACGCACACGAGCGCGCGCTCGCACACATTTACACACACCCACACACACACGCACACACACATACACACACACGCGCGCACACACACATGTTCACACGCTCACACACACACACTTACACACACACACACACGAGTGCACACACACACACACACACACACGCACGCACGCACGCACGCACGCACGCACGCCGACACGCACGCGCACGTACGTACGCGCGCACACGCACGTTCGGACATGAGCGAAGCGCGCGTGTGCGAACACACTCGGTCCGTCCAGGGTTCGAGCGGTTCGGCGGCTCGGCCCGTTCACCCTCGGAACTCGCTGGCCCTGGACCCCTTCGGGCCCAGGCAGATACGTTGTAGTTGGCTCCGTCTCGAAACGATCGCCGCATCGAAATGGTTCGGGCCACGTGGCAGTCGCCGCGCCGTCGACCGCGACGATGTCGAAACCAGTTCGTAGCTGTTTTTGTGGCTCGAGGCCATTCGGTCGAGCGGATGGCTTCAGGCCAACGCTCGCGCGGCCTCGATGCGGACCAGATCTACGAGGCGATCGAGCCGCATGCGGTGAACATCGGTTGGCTCGAGTACGGATCGTCGCCTGGCAAGGACAAGTTCGACGAGAAGTGCCAGGACACTCTGATGGTGCACGCCGAGGCGCGCATCCGTGTAAATATGTCCACGTCCGTCCACGCCCACCTCAACTCGCCTCCCCCCGAATCGTGCGCCTCGTCGCTGTGCGCGTCGTTCCCCCGCTTCCCTACTCCCAATGTTCCTCCACGCAGCCGGCCTCGTCGCCCTCCTCCCTCGACCGTGGCGCGGAGGAGGAGGAGGAGGAGAAGGAGGAGGAGGAGGACGACGACGAGGAGGAGGATGAGAAGGGACGAGGAATTGCAGGACGAGGATGAGGAGGAGGAGGAGGAGGAGGAGGAGGAGGAGGAGGAGAAGGAATGATGAGTAAACCGAGGAGGAGGAGGAGGAAGAGGAACGACGAGGAGGTACGAGGCGTCTAGGAGGGGGAGAAGGAGGGATGAGGATTTGCAATCTAGCTGCCCGCAGGCCCTCGCGGCGCTGGAGCGCGCCGTGCCCAACATGGCCCTGGGCCCCGAGGCGTCGCGCATGGCGATGCTCCGCATCGCCAAGGACCGCGCTGCCGAGTGGGGCTTGACCAGCGCGGCGCAGGAGGAGTGGGCTGACAAGACGGCCAGGAAGTTCTCGGGGCAATAAAATCCATCGGTGATCCATCGGTGAGTTATCGGTGAGTTATCGGTGAGCCATCGGTGAGCCATCGGTGAGCCATCGGTGAGCCGCCGATGTCTTACTGCATCCCAGGCCAGCCCAGGTCCGGGCTACCCCCCTGCCCCAACCAACCGAAAATCGAGCGGGGGCGACGGTGACGAATGCGACGAGGCGCGATGAGGAAACCGACGATGACGAGAGTGGAGGTGGTGAGGGTGGCGACGACGATCGAATAACAACGGCGACGCCGAATCACG